ATTGCTGAGTGTCTGGAGTCACATGTAAGCCAGACCAGGTAAGGATGGCAGTTTCCTTCCCTAAAGGGCATTAGTGAAGCAAATGTTTCTTCCAACAATCGAAAATGGATTCAATGATCATCATTAGACTCTTAATTCCAGACTTCCATTGAATTCAAATTCCACCATCTGCCATGGCGGGATTTGAACCTGTGTCCCCAGAACATTACCTGGGTCACTGGATTAACAATTCAGTGATAAAACCACTTCCCCTATTGTCTTGTACTGTTTGCCCCCTTTAAGAAACCCAAACTACTAGCCATCACTTTTTTTACCCAGTGTTAACAATCTGTATGCACTGGCCTGTAAATTTGACCGCACACTGTCCATTTTCCAGACATTAACTTTTCTTCCAATATGGCAGGTCTGGAATTTTTTGATCTTTGGCCAGACCAAGAACCCCCAGGCCTGACATCCCTGGCCTGACACCTTCCCCAGACTTCAGACTCTGATCTGTCTCGTCCCACTTCTCACCGCCCTGATTCTGGCCTCCCTGATGGCAGACAAGGCAGGAAGGGCCAAATGGCCTACTCCCATGTTCCCATTAATCCCGATTCCAAGGCCACCATTCCAATTCTGTAACAACCGCAGCTTTGTCTTGCTTACAACAATCACTGAGATCCTTAATGTACGTCACTATGAATAGCTCTTTACAATTTGATCAGAAAGCACATCGGTATAGTCTGTGGTGTTAGACACTGACATCGATACAGTTATTTTAATATTGCAGCTATCCCTGCCAAGAGCTTTCTTTGGTCACTGAAGCTCAAAGGCAATAGGAAAAGCAACATTTGAAAAATGATAAAATATTGATTTGAGTAATCTCCAAGCCCTAGAATCTGATATAAATAATTAAATTATGGTAATACAGGAGGTGGCTTGTGGTCCTAGTGAAAGATCTAATCTACAGTTGTAACCTTCCACCAAAGTCGCCTATCATCCAAGTTTTCTCTTTTCTCAGGTGTTCAGTCTCATTACATGTATCCACTTTGAATCCTGTCATTCATTATAACCAATTTCAGGTTTCATGCCCAGCTCACACAGGCAAAATTATTCTCTGACTCGTTATGAATTAGAGGAGCATTCCACCCACGACATCAATAGCAGGTTCATGATCTGCATTTATTAAAAATGACTTTTTGACATCATAAATTGCTCTCCAGAACATTTTGTTCGATTCTCCAAGACATTTTGATTAAAGGCACTCTTGATTCACTGCAAAGGATTCATAAACTTTTTTTTTGCTTGAACATAACTTCACATGCCTTCATTTTAAAGTGAGGCACTGAGTTTGGGTGCAGGAGGTGTACTGAAAGATTTAGCATGTGTTCCAAGCTATTTTTACTTCTAAGTCTCATGTTAATAATTATCGATGGACTGGTCTCCAGATTGTTTTGATATTTAGCCAGCCCTACACACAATTGCTCAAACAGTTACTGAAGCGATCTCAACTCCTCTTACATGTGTTACATGTCTTAATGCTGGGGTTTTATTCCCTAATTTAATTTTTCATTGCAAATGTACAGAATGTGCTTTTGATGAGATAGGTTAGTCACTGAACTTTCCCCATTCCCAGTTATTCCGATACCTCCTTGTTTTTCCTAACCCCTTCACCTAATGAAGGAATGAAAATGTTCTTGTCTGTCAGTTGCATTAACCCCATGTGGAATGTATTTTGGCAGTCTTAACTCATCTTCATTGAGTTGCTACTGATTCAATGATAATTTCAATGAATGAATGAATGATATATTGTCACATATACCTAGTGAGATATAGTGAAAAGTGTTCTGCCACAATCCGGCACCATTTTGAGGTACAAAAGAGTAGAAAGAAAGTACTTAAATAGAGTTTATCTTCATTGGCTGGAGTCTCAAACACGGCTCCAGGACTTCTGCAAAATTCCCGTTCTGGGTCTACCGGAGCCAGGAACCCTGCTCCGAGCACCGACACCGCCATCGCCGAAAGAGTCCATGCTCCAGGCCTACTACAGCTAAGAGTCCTGTCTACACCATTGCTGCAGCAGATGCTGTAATGCCATTCCAGGGTTCCATGCATCCAGCATATGAAGCCAGGACTCATCACTGACACTGCTCTGGCCAACTCGATTCCAGTGAAATATCCACAAAACATTTGTATTTTACTGTAATCTTAGTTAGACAGCATGTCTGGTGAGGAAATGAAGAACCTCACTCTTGTGTAGAAGGAACTCAAAAAAAGGCTATGACGCAGGACAGAAAGGTATATCTGACACCTAACCACAATACAACCCAACCAACTGATGCTGGTTAAAGGTGCTGAAAATTAGAAAATATTCCATTTCCTACACTATCAAAAAGCATGCAACTAATGGCCTGTTAACTTAATATCTGTCATTGTGAAAGTGTTTAGAACTATTTTTAAGGAAGTTATGGTGAGGCACTGAGATAAATTCAAGATAATCAAGCAAAAACAGCATTTGAGAAAGGGAAATCAAGTTTAACCAACCAATTAAAGTGTTTTAAGGAAGAAACAAGTGCTGTGGATAAAGGAGAACCAATGGAGGTACTGTACATGGGTTTCCAGAAGTTTTTTCAAAATTTGCTTCATCAAAGGTTCCTTCCGAAACTAAATGCTCATGTGTACTTGGTAACATATTGGCATGATAGAAGAATATTAGGTAACAGGAAGCAGACAGTAGGCATAACTGGGTCACTTTCAGGCTGGCAAAATTTAAAGGGTGCTGTGCCATTGGGATCAGCTGCTATAAACCCAATGCTTTGCAATTTATATAAACTACGTGGATGAAGAGACAGAAAGATTTGTTGCTAATTTTGCTAATGACACAAAGACAGGAAGAAAAGTAAGTTGTGAAGAGGACATAAGGAAACTGCAA